GGCCTCGCCCCGCGACGCGGCTGGCAGCGCGGCTCCAACGCCGTGTACCCCTAAACAAAACCCTTTCCCCTTCCTTGTAGTTGCCCTAGATCCTCGTGGTCTTTCAAACTGGACTGTGAACCAAAGAGTATCTCAAAAAGACTCAGTAAAACACTATGGAAGGTACATTAGGAAGGCACTTTTGACTGTGCAGTATTCATAAGTCTCAGTTATCCTGTGACTGAAGTCATCTTCTGATCTCTAAACGTGATCTCTAGTTACCTGAATAACAGCTGCGTCCCTGCCTGTTTTCTCCTAAAGGATTTCAGAACACTTTATTTTATCAGACAAATTGCTTCAACGTTTAAATGTACCTACATTTAGGATCGAAGAAGCAGCACCTGGATGAATTTTAGGAGAGGAATTATAAAAATAATGTTGTATTTATGTGCAAGCAAAGCAGGAGTTTTGAAACGCAGGATATAACGACAACTCGCGAGGGAGATTCTTTATTCTTTGTTTGCTTTTTAGTGTCACTTCTTTGCAGTCCCAGGGCTGCTTCCTTGTATTTCTGCAGCACAGACCTAGTGAAATGGAGTGACAGCTGGAGCGGACTGTGCAGCCCCTGTCCCAGTCTTGCAATGTAGTTAGTGTTGAGTGGACAGACATAGCTGGGACCTTGGTTTTGTTTTGTCCTAAGAAGGCCCCCTGCTAAAGCCCACTGACCCCTCCCAGAACACTTCATGATGACCCCAGGGGACAGATAAATAGTCTCTCCAACAGAGATGCTGAACAGTATGCATAGGTTAAGGGACACTCTGAATTTGTCTGCTATACGGAAGAGGTGGTGGTGCTTGCTTTCCCTGCTATGGGCACATATCTGATCTGTTCCTGCTCTTCTAGCATCTGCTGGCCTGACTGAGGAGCAGAAGGAATTCCAAAAAGTTGCCTTTGATTTTGCTTCCAAGGAGTTGGCTCCTCATATGGCTGAGTGGGATGAAAAGGTATGACAGTCTCAGAAGGGTTGCACTGCTCAGATTCTTTCCTCCCTTGGGATATTATTATGCTTAGGCCTCACCAGAGGGATTCCTGCAGTGGCTCCTCAGCGCTGTAATACCATCTATACAGACTTCTTTTGAAGACACTACTGTAGCTGGGGTGGGCTGCCATCAGAAATTTCCTTGAAGCCTTCCTAGCTAGGCTACACAATCCTCTGAAAACTTGCATTTACCTCTTGGAGATGGTATCTGTCTAGGTAGCTGCGCATCCTTTAACCCACCCAACTTACTTCATAAACTTTGCAGGAGTTTGGGATTGGACTTACTGGCCTAGATATACCAGAAGTTGACTGAATATTCCCTTGTGATGTCTCCGGCTGTCCCAATAGGAAATATTCCCTGTGGAAGCAATGCGGAAGGCAGCCCAGCTAGGATTTGGTGGGATCTATGTGAAACCAGATGTCGGTGGCTCTGGATTGTCACGACTTGATACCTCCATAATCTTTGAAGCTTTATCAACAGGATGTACCAGCACCACTGCTTATTTGAGCATCCACAAGTGAGTGTGTCTGCAGAGTGACGGATGGCGTCAGCCAGGCTGAAAAACAATTGTTTTGTGGGCTTTAAATCCAGCTAGAGGCAGCTTTCCTGGTGCTGCTTATTATCTAAAGTTGGGACCCCAAACAGACACGCTTGACTGCAGTAAACAAACAGGCTACAAAAATTGAGATGCCAGCAGGAAGTAATTTTAGCTTTGTGGCATGCAAGATGGGATCAAGTCCTGGATTCTGTTCCCTGCTCTTCCACTTGAACTATCTATAGATAGTAACCTCCCTGGAAAATCCTTTGCTGCTTTGGTCATACTGTGACAAAGCCTAAAGGCACCAGTTGATATCAGGGCCTCATCCTGCTGAATCAGTAAAGGGCACACTTTGCACAAAAGGACGGCGTGATCATGCCTCCTTCTTCCAGGTAGTTTTCCTAAGAGACAGTGGTGCTGAGGGAACGCTGATGCTTTAAATGGGGATGTTCTGTTCCACAGAGCAGTGAGTGGTGAATGGAAGGCAGATCTCCTTCCTCCCAGCCCCTGTGGCCTCTCATTTGGTTCCATTCCAGGGTTTGTGGGAGGAGGAAGGAGGGCTGCCGCCTGGGGTACTTGAGATTAACTGCAGCAGAGACGGAGCATGAAGCTTTCAAAAAGCACTCAGTGCTTTTGACTGAACCCCATGGAGCTTTTTTTGCTCTCCTCAGTCGGGGATGCTCTTGTATGACCCACCTTCCTTCTAGGGCTGTGTTCACACGTATGTACTATAATGCTGCTCCTTCTCTCTTGCTCCAGCATGTGTGTTTGGATGATCGACACCTTTGGGAATGAGGAACAGAGGCACAGGTTCTGCCCATCACTCTGTAGCATGGAGAAACTTGCTTCTTACTGCCTGACTGAGCCAGGTAAGTAAGCATCCTGAACTAAAAAATCCTCTCCCTTCCCTCACTCCCCGCATGGTTTTCCTGGACATGAACGTTCCTGGAAGCCAGAGGTAACAAGTTTCTTTTCTTATTCGTTTGAGCAGTCACAGGGAAATTTGGAAGGGGCAGGTGATGATTGCTGAAATGCTTGTGGTACAAACCCACACGTCCTAGGGTGTGAAAACTCCAGGAGAATTTGCAGGCTCTAGAGAAGTGTTGCTTCATCGGCTGTTTCCTTACCTCCCGAACAGGAAGTGGAAGTGATGCAGCTTCCCTGCTGACCTCAGCTAAGAGGAAGGGGGACACCTATGTCCTGAATGGCTCTAAGGTACCTCTTTGCTCCTCATCCTAAAGCTGTTGCATGGTGCTGCATGCACAAGGGTGCCTGAGTCTCACTGTCCTTTCCTTTTCCATGTAGGACATACTGTCTCCTCATTTCTTCTCCTAAGGTATGACATGCTCTGCAGACCATTCACCAGAGCTTAGTCCAGTTGGGTCCCTGAGTATCTCCTGGCAGTTGGGTCTGTGCCCCTCAGCTGTGACTCAGTAGATCTTGCTGTTGGGTAGCTCTCCCTGAGGTGCAGCTGAAGTTGTGCTTTACAGAATTTGATTCTGATACTTCTTGATGTGTCTCTTAGGCAGCGCCTGGAGCAGTCTTTGTACCCCAGCTGCTGCTGCAGGCTCAGTGTTAGCATACGACAGCGGCCCCCTTCTTCTTGTGCCCTTCTGCAGGCTTTCATCAGTGGGGGTGGCGACACAGATGTATACGTGGTCATGTGTCGCACAGGAGGTCCAGGACCCAAGGGCATCTCCTGTCTGGTACTGGAGAAGGGGACACCAGGGCTCAGCTTTGGCAAAAAAGAGAAGAAGGTAAGAAGCTTGTTCTTTATTTCCCATGTACTTTAGGGAAATGCAGGCCAGAGATAGGCCACTCCATGCAAAACACTAGGGAGCTCTTCTTAGATGGGATCAGAGTCCCAGCCTGGCCCTGGTGAATTATTCCCAAGCCAAGTTCAGGCTAGGTTTGGGGAAGTTTGTGCAACACCTGCCTTGAGGTAAGTGAAAGATTTTAATCTTGGGAACATCAAGGTTCTTTGGATCTGTGCCTGTTCTGTAACTACGTGCATCCCAATTTCTAACTGAGCGCACTGAGACCAAATCCCATAGACAGCAGGCCCAAAGGTGCTCTGTGACAGTCTGGCAATGAGAAAAAGGGTTGAAAGTAGGCGGAGTAGTTCTCTACTGGGGAGTTGAATGTTTGCAGCCCCTTGAGCAGTCTGGGTGGTGCTCTCTTTTTTCCCAGGTGGGCTGGAATTCCCAGCCAACTCGGGCTGTGATCTTCGAGGACTGCGTTGTTCCTGTCAGCAACTTGCTGGGAGCTGAAGGGGAGGGTTTCAACATTGCCATGAAGGGGCTGAACGGAGGCAGGATAAACATTGGTAAGAAAGAAGGAGTGCTGGGAGCCAAGGGTGGAGGGCCAGGATCATCTTGCTGCCAGTCTGCTTTAACTTCATACTCACTTTGTGCCCTTGGCTTCTCCCACCAGCTTCTTGTTCATTAGGAGCTGCTCATGCCTCTGTTCTTCTGGCCCAGGAACATCTCACTGTCCGCAAACAGTTTGGGGAACCCTTGGCGAACAATCAGGTAACTTCTCTACCAGATTTGCGCTCCCGGGAACCGTGCTCTTTCTGCTCCTGGCTGAGCAAGCAGCCAGAGCTCCCTCTTGCTTCACAAGGTCTTCCCTGGGAGAAGCTGGGCCTGCAATAGTCACGAACTCTTCCCAGCATGACTGTTCTCATGCCTTCACCATCAGCGCCTGCTTCAGAGAGAGGTTTGGGTGGCAAGAGGTGGGAGGGGAGGGCTTTTGCTCAGGTGTGACACCTATCAGTCAGCTGCAATGTGAAGTCATGTATGGAAGAAGAGGTGGAGGTTGCAAATGAGACAGAGGTAGAACTAAAGGGAGATCTGAGCTCCATGTCAGCAACAGGCTTTTCCCAAGTAAGAAAGTGTGTCAGGCCCGAGACCTGCCTGAAGGTAGGGGGGATGTGGTTCAGGACCCAGGCCCTTCCGAAGATGCTGACCTAATTTTTCTCCTCATGCTGACTGCTGGCAGTACCTGCAGTTCAGGCTGGCAGAGATGGCGACACGCCTGGTGGCAGCACGCCTCATGGTACGCAATGCCGCGCGGGCACTGCAGGAGGGACAGAAGGACGCGGCTGTGCTGTGCTCCATGGCCAAGCTCTTTGCTACTGACGAATGCTTTGCGGTAGGTTCCTCAAACCTCAGTCGGCGTCATAACCAGAAGCTTGGAGACCCCTCTTAGGGCCTAGGATCTCAGAAAGAAGTTTGGCACTGCAGAACCCAGACCTGAGCATGTTCAGTGAGCCAGAAGCCCCATTTCAGGACCAAGATGTTTTACAGGACAGAATTCTGCAACCTGTAGAGGCTGCAATCTTAGTTTCTCCACAGTTCAGGTCTCTTCTTTCCTAAACCACTTCCTAGAAGTCTGCACCTCGCATCTTCCTAGATTAGTAACATTTAGAAGCTATTGTATTTTCTCAGCCCTCTGGATTTTTGCTACCTCTTCTGTTTTATATCACAAGCTGATAGATAATGAGGCCTGAAGTCCTGTATGAATAGAAATCAGAGCCTGAACAGATTTTCCCTGACTTACCGCTAGATGGTGATCTGGCGTTTTGATTTTTGCATCAGTAGCTCCCTGGAAACGCAGCAAAAACTGCCTCGGTTAAGTAAAGCACTCCCTGGGTATCTGTATGCTATAGTGTTCCCATAAGTGCATCAATAATTTGGAACAGCACTGAGAGCAGCACTGGCTGGGGCTGAGAGCTCCTTGCTGTCACACTAGCCTCTATTAAGAGATGAGATTAGGTGACCAGAAAGAAAACTGAGCCCAGGTTCCTGGGTTCTTACCGAGCTTCTGTTGCCGACTTGTCCTCAGCACCATGCAAATCTCTTCACCAGCGATGATTATCTTCTCCTTAGATCTGTAACCAGGCTCTACAGATGCACGGGGGCTATGGCTACCTGAAGGATTATGCTGTGCAGCAGTTTGTAAGAGACATCAGAGTCCACCAGATCCTGGAAGGTAAAAGAAGCAGCTCTCACTAGCAGTGATTTGGCGGTGTACCAGGGGAAGAACAGGCCTGCTAGAGGTCCCTTCCTACCTACATGACTCTGTGCTTCTAGGGTTTCAGAATCCAGTTTTGCTCTGAGCATGAGGTCTCCTGGTGGTGTCAGGTGTGCGAACCCCTCGGCTGAGAGCACTTGGTGTATTCTCTCCCTCCAGGCTTTGGAGAAGTTAGGGTGTACTGTAAGAGTCTCACAGCCAGGGGAGATCTCTAGCTTTCATGTTAGCAGTGTCTCTGTCTAATTTCATCCCATTAGTCCTACAGGCATGTGCTGGCACTCCCCAACAATTCCTTTTCTGTGATTCTGGCCTATCTTCAGTCTTTGACATTTGTGTCTCTAGCAGTCTCTGAGCTTGGCTCTGTGTACAGCAGCCTTTTCTAATCTCGATTCAGCCGTCGAACCATTTTACTTTCCCTTCTTTGGATTCCCTTCACCTAGAACAAGGGTACCTGGTAGGTCCATGATCTTGCCTGTACTGAGTGGGACTACAGTCTTTCTTTCTGTGTGTTACACAGTAAAGCAGAGAACTTGCGTGTTGGCATATACCAAGTTCTGTTTGATGCCTGGTGCCCTCCTCATCTCAATGTCCAAAGAAAAAGGAGCACCAGCACTTAACACTCTGAAGCCTTTCCTGAGGAATAGGTTGGCACTCGGCAGTTACTTTTTGCCCTAACACCTACTAAACGCCACCTCAAGTTTTCCCCCTGGAAAGAGCTTTTCCATGCTGAAGACTGCAGATCATGGAAGAATTTTCTTTGTCTTCATTGGGGATAGAATCGGACTGTCTCTTAACTGTATTTCTTTTGCACTCTCGTCATGCTTCAGGTACCAACGAGGTGATGCGGATGATTGTGGCCAGGAATCTGTTACAGGAGTGAAGCCAGGAGCTGGTCTCCAGCCTTAATGCACTTCATCTGCTACAGCGTCATCTGTTTCCCTCCCCTATCCACCAGCTCTCTCCCCTGGACTGGAGAGGGGGGGATACCCAAGTGGAAACAGTTTTTCTGGCTTATATCGACCCCAAGCACAGCTGGACACCACCCACGTGCTACCACAGCTGCACTCTGTGCCTGGCAGAGCTGCTGTTACTAGGGAAGTATTGTGCAGCCTGAAGTTATAAATCACAGTTGTGAATAAGAGTCTCTGTCTCCAAATCTTGACCAGGGGCTGCTGCCACCCCATCCCTCTTGGAAAGAGGAACACTAGACTTCTTGGTCATCTCTGCTGAGCCAGGACTGAAACTGGCAGAGATGGAGGTGCAACCTAATTGCATAGCACCGTTCCTCTTCTCGATCATAATAATGGTTTATTAACCATTTAGTTCCAGGGAACTAGTTCCCCTGTTTAAAAGCCTGACCTCCAAGGTGCTGAATACACCACTGGCGACAAGTTAGCCACAAACACTGCAGCTCTAATCACTTGTTGAATGCAGTGGCTTTTTAATGGATGAGGAGGATGCCTCTTGTTCACCTAGAAGCATTCCTCTTTCTCTTCTGCCAGCACACAATTTTCTAATGTGCCAAGTGCTTGTTCTGCCTACTCCCACCACGTACTGGTGCTTCCTCTATCTCAAGGAAGCCTCGCAGTGCAGAGTTACAAGTCAAAAAATAAGGTCCTGCACAGAAACTTCTAAACTCTGTTTTCTCAGATCAGTGTTCCCTGCTGTGCACTACGTAGAGGGAGTAAAAATATTGGTAAGATTCAATGATTTTTTCCTCAGACTTGAAATCAATAAAACTATGGTCATAAATGTACCAACTGTGTCAGAGGTTATGATAATTCTCTTCTGCAGTGTTTCAAGGTTTTAACCAGAGGTAGCAGAGAAGGTTTTCCATGTAGGGGGTTGCAAAAAAAGTTCAGCCCCCCCCCCACCAATTACAGGGTCTGGGTTAGCCTCTTCAAAGGAGAACCAGCTCCCCTTTCCCTTCCCACCACATGCCCAGTACATGGCACAGGGAAGGGAGCTGACACGGGCAGAGAGGAGGTTAGTGGCAGCTGTAGGTGTTTTCTGATCTCAGATTAGACTTCCTAGGTGATAAAAGGCCATTGCTAATGGGCCCTCATGTATCCTGCCTCCTCCTTTCCCCGAGTGCCCTGCAAAGTGAACTCTGCTTGCGTGGCGCGATAAGGGCAGTCGAAGGCAGAAGCCCCTCACGCTTTACACAGGAAGTCACCTGCGCGCGTCGAGGCCTCCGGCGGCGCTGCGGCCCTGTTGGCGCGGGGCTGGGGTC